TTCAGTCGATGTTTTACGGCTCATTGTCATTTCTTAAAGAGCACTCGCTAGTCAATCCCCATTTTTAATTTTATCATGAGCTTCAAGTTGTATTCTGCGGTTTTGAACAGTAATTTAAGTCAGTCAAGTTTTTTTTTTGGAAGTCATTCTTCTGATTTTTTGTCCCAACCGCACACTATTGTGTTAATGTGTCTGCCCTCCATTGTTTATGGATTCGCGCTCTATTTTGTGTTTTTTTCGCCCTCGATCCCTTTCTTTCATAATCTTACCCTAATGCCTGAATACTGTAAAACCATTCATTTTCACTGGTATTTAATTTCACTATTTTGAACAATTTCACTGGGTTTTAAAAGTTCATGATGAGTTCTATTGTTATTCTACATTTTCACAAGAATTTTATTTAGCGAAATTTACTTAAAAATTATTAAAAGAGATTAAAAACTAGCAAATAATTAATGCGTTTCCAGTATTGCTTTCTTCAATGTATGTGTACACCATCTCAGATGTACAGCTAAATATGCATTAGTGACAACCTCTATACACCACTCTTATGCAGTTCCAGGGCACAACAATCAATTACCTCATTTTATATTCAATGTAACCATATCAATACATACACAGCAATGACCAATCTTTTCACAAAGTATTGAAAACTTTTTAATACTGTAAAAGGGTTAATTATTCACTGGGTTTTAATTTCCTTATTTCGCTGACTGAAAAATGCGCTAAATTAAAACCCAGTGAATATGTCAAATTTAGCATAGAACACATTATCTAAATGATAAAACCGTGAATTTAAAACCCACTGAATATTCCTGAAATGGTATATCAGCGAAATTTAAACCCAGTGAATTTTTGTCATTTTACAGTACTTTGTGACAATGATTTGAACAATCTTATTTCATCCTTTGAGATGCTCCAACTGTTAGTTTCTGGTTCTAAAAATTACCTGAAAGTTCTCGCCTTAAACTTGCTTCCTTTTCACCAGTAGGATCTCCACCATCTCGTTTTGTTTTTTTCCATCGCATAGCACTCTCATCATACAATTTAAGTTCCTTCTCTAATTGATCCAGTCTTTTAGGACTCATTCCAATCTAAATAGATGAAAAACAAATGTAGAGATTAAAATAATGGTCCATGGTCACCATGGAGCTCCTTGGCCGAATTTTAGGTACATTGCTTGACAATGGAGACTGTTAGAATTTGTGTATAGTGTTCCCTCATTGCTGATATGATGCACCATTATTGTACAGAGACTTGCTGTGACCCAACTAATTATGCTAATTCACTGGCACCTTATTGAAGCAACAGAAAATTGAACACTGATATATTATACTATACTTACTAGACTTATAGAATTTGTAATTTGATAAAAATGAAACTGACTTTTTGTAAACAAAATAAGTGAAAAAAGAGAAAGAGGACATTTCAATATGTGCCACAAGTCACTAACAAAGCTGCATGGAATTTTTTTTTTTTTGAAGATTCTCCAGCAGTCAACAATCTGACAGAGCTTGATTTTTGGGATTTTATTTTAACATCCCTACTCAGTCCTGTTATAACAAATAATATGCCTTAAACAAGCAGCCTGTCGGCTGAGATAGCTCCGCTGTTAGCAATGCACATTTCAATTAAAGAACAGAAGATATCACTAGAAAATGAACAATATGTATAGTATCAAAGCAACAGGACTTGCCGTTTTCAACAAGAATTCGAAAATAACACTTTTCACAAAAAATGAAAAAATAATCATCAGAATTAGATAATTGAAGATATCACCACGAAATTAACAAATCTGAGAGAGGTCCCCATGTAGTACCTATATATGTAATATCAAAGCAATTGGACTTGTGCTTTTTAACAAGAAGTCGAAAATATCACTTCTTACCAAAAATGACAAAAATATTCACCAAAATTAGAGAATTGAAGATATCATCATGAAATGAACAAATCTAAGAGAGATCTACCAAAGGTACATATACACCAAAACATTGACATGGACGACGGACGACAGACGACAAGGGACAATCACTCATATGACAAAGTCGACAGCGGAGCTAAAAACTTAATATAAAATGCTTCAGTTCTTTTCATGAAAACGTGATGATTTTACATCTAGAAAAAATTTCACATTTAAATTTTTTTTTGCATTTAATTCTGTGCGAGTTGGGCGACTTTCTACCGATGTGCAATAAATTACGGATTCACAATATGGTTAGCTTGACACTATTAATGAGAACAATACCATATAGCACTGAAATTTTAGTAGCAGTATGTATGGCCTTATAATGAAGTATATGTTTGTGCAAAAGGGTAATTATTTGGGTAAATTAAAAAAGTCTATTGAAAATAAAGCATAATGCAAACACAAAGAATATGTTTTAATTTGGAACTACGTATTTAATGTTTAATGAATAGAAAAATCAGCCAATCAAATTGGTACACATGTGAGCTATTATCGTGGACTGCGTTATGTGGAACTTTTATGAATTATTAAATAAGGTATTTCATTTCCTTTATAATCACAACTAATTTACTCGTAATTGCACGCATAATTTGATCCACGAAAAAAATAATTTACTGTATTTCTTCAATAACAGTATGCAGTGTACAAGTAGAGGAAAAACTGGTTAGAAAACAGATTTCACACATAATCCCAGCACCATATTTTCTTGTAGTTTAAAATCCCACAGGAATGACTGATTTTCACCAGGTCTTGAATTTATCCAATATCGATGGCTTAAGAACTGTTGATATATTCAACTAATTGTCACGATAGTGTAAAATTTATTTTCACCAACATTTATTTTCATTATTATGATGTTTTAATCATATATTCACTGGGTTTCAAATTAGTGAACTAGCCATGAAAAGAAATTAGTTTTATTGTTATTTTGCATGTTCATGAGGATTTTAATCAGCAGATTATACTTATCAGCAAAAAATAGAAAAATTATAACACAGTGAATAATTAATACGTTAACAATACTCTACCTTAAATATTCAGATAGTCCTTACTGTCCTTGGGGAAAATGAAACGTATTGTGTAGTAGCAGAAACATTTGTAATGCATATTTCAAGATGCATATTTCAAAATGTAGCTAACAATTCTATGGAATTGTACTCTCTCAAAAGGGCCATAGTCCAGAGATTGCGTTAACCCCATATTTTGCATCCTGGACTCCAATAATTGAAGAGGGACCCAGTTTTTCAGGCAATCTCTAATAAAGTTATCCAGGGTTAAATTTCAATTTCTTAAAATTTTGTAAGTGGGACTCGACTTGCTAAGACACTAGCGCAAACCCTGCCATAGTCTCCTTTTTTTGTCATTTTTTTTTTATTAATGTAAATGTACACTACTTACTAGGCTTAGTTTCCATGCTTGTTTGCTACCAGATGGCTTTGCCTTCTCAAAAAAACTTACAATTTTTAAAGTGAGTATTATTGTCATCCATTTCAACATATTCTTTTTAGTATTTACCAGTACCTATGTTATTTATACGAGATATGTTTATACAGATTACTCTTCCCAATTTAGATATGTGGTAGTTTTGAAAGCAAACTAAGTAAGCTCGGTTTACATTTTATGTTATACATGTAATTGGACTGTACTGTAATACTGAGTCTGAAATGGGACAAAAATGTTTGAATGTTCATGTACTTAAATGCAAACAACACCTCGATGTCTATGAAATTAATTTGTGCATATCACATTTTGTACTTCCACATATCTGTAAAGTACCGAGTCTTGTCCAGCAACGATTCAATGGGAACCTATGGTAAAAGCAGTATAATACTGCCAAAATAGCCACTATCCACTAAAATACAACTATCATTTTTTCGAAAGTTAAGCTTGTGGCCCCAACTTTTTAAGTCAATATTCTTAAATTACCCTGAAGTATAATTTTTGGAAAACGGATAAATTCTAGGTAATTGAATACATGAACAGGCTTATACCTTAAGGGGTTGATTATTAGAAATACTACCGTAGGGGTGGAATGATAGAACTACATTGTAACTTTGAATAATTGAATAATCTTTCTTCCATAACCCCCCCCCCTTCTTAAGGCAAACCCCTAAATCCTTAGGCACAAAAATAGTTATAACCACTTGTCAGATTCTGATTGGATCACAGTCCCTAAGGTTGAGAGATCGTGATTGGATGACACAAGATTTTAGTTTTGAATGATGTTCATGGCATACTGTTGTTGTTATTGATTAGAACAAGTTTAGTAAGTATGGCACTCTACAAAAACATACACTCCATTGCCCTTTCAAATTACACAGGTTCAAATATAATGTCATGGTTTATGAATGAGACAATGATTCCCCTGTCCTGTCTAAATATTAATATAAATCTTGGTCTGTTCGAAAACTGTCATTCAATGGTAAAACTCAAATAGTCAAATCACTGCTTCTTCCAAAATTTCTTTATTTATAATTTAATCTTATAGTTGTAAAATTGACGATATTAAATCAATAAACAAATTTATCCACAAATTTATTTCGATTGGGCCAGACAGGGTGGCAAGAAATACTATGACTACCAATATTGCTTAGAGGGAAATTGATTTATTAGATATTTTCGCTCTGTATCACGCTTTTAGGATCAAGTTGACTTAATGCTTCCTAGACACAACTGTCACCCATCCTTTGAAAAAAATTCTCTTTCTCTTTCTTTCTTTCTTTCTTTCTTTCTTTCTTTCTTTCTTTCTTGATCCCTTGGAGGTAGCATTATCTTCAGAAGTAATTATCAAATTTCTCTACTGTCTACCTCACTGCAATATTTTTATAAGAGCTTTCTGTTCAGTTGGTCAAAGTTTCATATGTTCCAAAGGCAAACTCAGTCAGTAGAAAGTATTGTACTTTAGAACAAATCTAAAATACTCATAAATGACAGCAGTTTATAAAAGTACTACCTATATTGCCGACTTGTATGATGCTAGTGGGTATCTTCAACGCACAGAACTATAACAAGGATATTATCAAGGATTACTTTCATCTCTGCCGGCAGAATGGAAGTCATGTAAATCGTTTTGTGTTAGACCAGAACTACCAATTGGTATGTTTATTGAAAATAAGTTTGCTCCTTCGAGCGGCATGAATTGTAGGAAATTATGCAGATTGCTGTCTGCATCCTATTTTGTACCTCCTTGAGGCGTAACGTATTAGCAATCTTTGTTTTATATTGGGGACAAAATGTGGAAAGAATTGTATTTACTTCAGGAAATCCAATGTAAACTCCGGGGAGGGGCACTTAGTGCATATCACATTGTGGGGACGTGTCGCCCTTTGGGGGTCGTCATTTTGAGTTGTTTGGTCTAAAATGCGTAGTGCATGCATGGTGAAGTCATCAACAATTCAACCTATAACTGAATAAATGTTGTAACAATTTGGTCTTTGATGGGATACAAAATTACTATTTGGTCTATATAATGGGGTATGGTTTTTGAGGCGAAAATGGTCTATGATGGGGTCTGGGGTACGTTTTATTTCCCGGTCGCACACCACTACCAAATTGAAAGGCCAGTGTCAAATTACTGTTTCAGTTCTGCCCGAACTTTCCTTAAATTTCAGAACTTTCGGACTCATGTAAATATACACTACGTTCACGCTCGCTGATCGATTCTGACTTTCTTTTTACCGCAGTATTATACATAAATCTTATTAGCCACAATTTGTATCATTTCTAAAGCAACACTTTACGCTTCGGCAATCAAACGTAAAATTAGATGGCCAAGCCTAGCCCTGTGTACAAGTCAGTTTCATGGACACAGGGCTAAGCCAAGCCCTGCGTTTTGTTCCTATAGGTTGAAATGGTAAATGCACGTGTTCTACTATATAGTCAGAGGAGTTGTGACACCACACATTGAAATGTGACTTTGTTGATACAGTGTACAACGTAGAAATATACACTTACACGTTCTGCCTTTTCCCAGACTTGGTTCGTTCTTCTCTGTCGATACTTCCATTCCTTTTGCCCATGATCAGGTTTCTGTTGCGCGTCCTCGTTGTATTTTCCAGCTGAAGCCAGAACGACTAAAACGACCGAACAAAATACGAACACAGCCACATTTCTTAAATTAAATGCCATATTTAAGCGACAAGCCGAGCAGTCACAGGCGACTTGTGTCACACAGACGCAATATTACTGTATGTAAAAATGTGACAAGCGCAACTTGCGAAACTCGACTGCGCGTTTCCGGAACTGCTTGTGGTGCAATGACCAGTGTGAGGTTAGCACGCAATAAGAGCAAGCAATATAAGCTGGCACGCAATAAGAATCAACAATACAAAGTGCCGTAAACCGGCGTTTTTGTCGTGTATAGTGGTGGTGTGACTAAAATAATCCAAAATGGGGTACTTGCGAGCTGAATTCCCCTTTTGGCATTAAATTTCAACGAAAATGCGACGAAGCCATACAAATGCTAAACCCAATCGCACTGCCTCGTTTGTTTTCAACTTAAACTGCTCGTTCAATATCAAAAGACAATTCTAGTTTTACGCACTATAAACCAATTGAAGGCGAACAAAAACAAAACAAAACATATATATATATATATATATATATATATATATATATATATATATATTGAATTTCGATGCCATGTACGAGCAATATTTCTTTCTTTTTTTCGCGCAACAAATATGCTATGTTATTTATAATTTAAATCGGCTGCAGCCACTTCAAAATCAAATTTATTTTCGAATGTTATGTATCAATCGATTGGGAATTAACAGTAGATTAAAAGTGTCTCAATCATTGTCCGGCACAACATGTTGTCACTCTGTGGTCACGCCCTAAATTTGGCCTATACTAGTATTTTACGCTTTTGGCACAAACATAGACGTTAATTAATTTAATCAAATCGGCTGCTGTCGCATTAAACACAACTTTATTTTCGAATGTTATATATCAATCGACGGAGTATTGAAAGTATATTGAAAATATATTAGTCACTGTCCAGCACAACAAGTTGTCACTCTGTAGCCACGTCCAAAACTTCTCTCGTTTTTGGCACAAACAATGCGTTAACCATTCAATCAAATCGGCTGCATTCACATCAAACACAAATATATATTTGAATGTTTTATGTCAATCGAGAGAAGACTAATAGTAATTAAAAGTGTATTAGTCACTGTCCGGCAAACAAGTTATCACTCTGCAGCTAAAGACTAAAACGACCGAACAAAATACGAACAGAATCAAATTTCTTAAATTAAATGCCATGTTTAAGCGACAAGGCGAGTAGTCACGGACGACTTGTGTCACATAGACGCATAATTACTGTATGTAAGTATGTGAAAAGCAATACACAACTTGTGAAGGTCTCATGCCACTAATCAACCAATGGCTGCTCGTCAATTTAAATGCTTAGCAAGAACCAATGAAATATTATAAATTTTTTTTTTCTCAGGTGCTCCCTGTTTGAGGGCGTAATCACCTGGGTCAGAGGTGAGACCAACTTGTGGTCTTTTGTTTACTACTTAGCGGCTGTGTACCTGTGGGTTTGTTCTGTGTGTATTTGGATGTTCTAATCTTGGTGTTTTTCCAGTGATTTATCTTGGTGCAATCCAAATACAGTAGGTGTGTCTTGTTTACCTGAGATTTGCAAGAGTTTGAGCTGGCCAACATGTTAGTTTTTTTTCATATGATTGATTATTGGCATGTTGATTTCCCATTTTTGAGCCATATTTTCAACTTTCTTCGTCATTTTCATATAGCAATCTCGTCATATGTTAACATTGTCGTCTATGGAAATTCAATTAGTGGTATGAGCCCTGAAACTCAAATGCGCGTTTCCCGGAACTGCCAGTGTGAAGTTGGCACGCAATAAGAGCGCGTAATAGAAGCTGGCACGCAATAAAAATAAACAATAAAATAGTTCCGTAACCTGGCGTTTTTTGTCGTGCATAGTGGTGGTGTGACTAAAATAATCCAAAATGGGGTATTTGCGAGCCGAATTCCCTCTTTGGCACGATTTTCAACGAAAATACAACGAAGCCATACAAGTGCACTGCACTTGGCTGCCAGTTTCATCAAACAATAACTGCTTCGTTCGTTTTCAATTTAAAGGAAACATCAATCCAAACAACATAAGGACCTCTAAAGAAAAAGCTCCACAAATGTAGGAGAATGCAATTTACATTTTTTATATCACTTTCCATTCTCTAGATATTCAACTTTTCATCAGTATTATCAGTTTACAGAGTTGACACAAAATATATTTCGAATATTTTATGTCAATCGAGAGAGGACTAGTTGCAGATTAAAAGTATATTAGTCATTGTCCGACACAACAAGTTGTAACTCTGTAGCCACGTTCAAAAACTGGGTTATAATGTCATAATGCCAAATAGCCTTCACGAAACCACACATTTTTTAAGTCAGAGGTAAAAAAGCGAGGCGAGTGTATTATCGACAAATCGAGGCGAGTGTATTATCGACAAATCAGCGACATGCACACTGTGTGTAATAACAAATAAAAAAAATGGTAAACAGTGAACATTTTACCAAAATCACAAAATCTGATAGCGGCATGTTTTTAGAATATGACTGAACCACGTTCCAATTCCACGTGTCTACTGAGAGTCCTCGGGTTACAGTCCCCAGGTTGTATAAAGTCTGTAAAAGTTAAAGCGGGAGGGTCGTCACCTGTGCACGCGCGGGAATTGAGTCCCAAGCGATGATAACAACACACGCTTAAACGCAAAGGCTCATGGCCATCTGACACATGCAAACTATTTTATAAGCATGTTTGCCACCAGTACATGTACGCTACCATGTTCTAAACTTTCAGCCAATTTGAAGTTCAACTTTTGAAGTTATAGATGAAATAATTTTCTCAATTTCTGACAACAGATTCCATGATGTCATACTTTACCCATAATCCTTTGCTTGAGAATCGAGTGACTGACTACATAATACTGATATAAAGTTGAATATCTAGAGAATGAAAAGTGATATAAAAAAAACTGTTGCATTCTCCTACAATTGTGGAGCTTTTTCTTTAGGGGTCATTATGTTGTTTGAATTGATGTTTCGTATAAGTTAAGTCATTGATTCACCAACTTTAGCACGTATTCTTTTATGGCTGATCTACATTATCTCAACTCTGGAAGTGTTTTAGAAGTAACTATTAAATTATAAATTAGATGCCAAACAGATATACTTTACCTTGATTTTCATCAGATATTTGACAGAGTAACTTGCAATACATAATCTTAGCATGTATAGCTTGCATGGTTCTTTGCTGTCCTGGTTTCCCAGTTATATGAATAACCATAGTTAAAGAATGCTAGCAGAAGGATTCCTGTTATATCTGCAGATTTTACAATGTAAATCGTCATCAAACCTAAAAGCCTTGAAATGCAATTATACATTTGTAATTTCACTTCACTTTAAAAATATATTTATATTTGCAATCTTATTACTTTTGAAAATGAATTTACATTTGTAATTTCATTTTGATTTTAAAAATGGTTTTGATTTCTTGCGCCCGTTATTGTTGATTGTAGTCGGCAATGATGGCTTTAATCGTCGCACCAAATGTTAAAATGCTGATTGCCAACAGGTAAAATTTAGAAAACATTGTCAAATTGAAAGCTTCATATATATTGCTAGACAGTCATACGAGCTAGACGTACAACGGTGAGAAATAAGAAATGGCGTGCAAAGTAACTAAATTTGAACTAAGTGGTTGTCTTTTCGAAACAAATAGTAGAATGTTTGAAAAAGGGCTCTCAAATAGTCGAATTATTGTCCTAAGCATGATATCTTATGTGTGTTGGGGGGCCCTGAATTTATTCGAAACATGTACGGGGGGGGGGCTTATTCTACAACTGGTTTTGGGGTACCCGAAAAGAATTAGGAATAAAAAACATTCTCTTCAGACTCCCCCTAAACATTTTTAATGTAAGTAGCCTAACGTGGCCAATTTTACCTGGTGATAGTATTAAATATGAGACAAGTTAATGATGACTGGCTTATATTTTATTAAGCAAACACTGTGACGATATGACAACAACGCTATTAATTAAATAAAACACCTAAACTTTTCTAAGCAAAAAATCCCTTAATACATATAACTATAAGCTGCGTTTTTGCCATTTTTTGTTTCAATACTATTGACACAACAAATCCATTTTCTTTATTCCAATAAATATTTATACAACTCAAACTGGAACAACAGGTTCATATTGGACAATTGATTAACATTAAACATCTTCCAACGCCATTGCGCTCATTGATTGGCTGGTTGTATTCTACTACCGTTACAATTTATGAATATTTATTTTATAATACTGAAGGAATGGGTTTGTTGTGTTCGTAGTATACATTGGTAACATGTTAGATTTATAGATACTTGTACACTAGATCAGAGGTACATTACTTGGGGTTTGCAACACGCATAGTACTGTATGATGACATCATGTCAAGATCCATTCAAGTCTCAAGCGAGACTGATGCTACGACCTTCTGACATGACATAGGCGGTTTGTAATAATCAATAAAACATGTATTACCACATTCATAGTGAAAAAATGTAATACATCGAAAATCTACAGAAAGTATAGTTATCGTAATCGGTCATATCGTGAGCAGCTATTTTGACCCACCTGGACATCCCAGTATTCTAGTTACCTCGGGCATGCGCATTCTCATTTTTCTGAGTTGGAACGCTTATGCGAGAGCGAGATTGAAACGGGATCTTGGTATCATGTCACCGTAGTTGCAAACCCCAAGTAATGTACCTCTGACTAGATCTATTATCGCGAGTCTTCAAAAAATCAGTAGTGAATGAGAGTAGTGAATCAGTCTAAAATCTAATAGCATGGCGGCTCTTACATTCAGGCTTGTGCATTGTAATGCACTGAAATAATGGAGGCAGACAATCGGTGAAACATCAACAGACAACTTTTTGGGATTATAGGCTAGATTGTCCAGGTAATAACAAGCGAATAACATCTATACAGTGTATTATCATTTCCAGCTATCTGCGTGCTAAAACCATATGTATAGGCCATGTGGTCTGATTACCCTCAATTTCTCATTTGACTGTACTGTACTTAAAAAAAGTTGCAATTATATTTGTGTCACTGTTGATGTAGTTGTCCCGAGGGCAATCTTAACTTAATAGGTCTTATTGAACATGTATATTCTGCTTTGTACAGCGCTGTATATAGTTTTATGCAACGCCAAGGCCCCGCCTCTCCAAGGACCATCTAGTGACTGTACGACCGCGTTCACCACACGCTATATGATAATGGTCTTTTCGAGACGGGTGAGTGTGCGCAGTAGTGTGCGCGGTTGCCCACAGCGACGAGTTTGAATCTCACGTTTTTGTATGTTCGTAATTTGCGAGTAATTGTATTGGTACCACGAAACGCACATAAAAGTCATTTGGCCCGGTAGTATGAATAAAAATACAAACAAATTTGTCAAAAACGCAGCTCATGACACTTTAAAAAATCATATCGTAAGATGGCTTGACCCTACAGCTCGGTGTGTCGACGGGAGGAGAAACGTGATCGCATATCCCCGACAAAGTCTTTGATCTGTGGAGGTAACAGAACTTAGAATAAATAAACGAAGCAACATGTTGTTTTGTGCAATCTAAGGAAAGAAAGCAAGAAGTCCTCAGAATAACAATTATTTAGCTCATCTGTTGAATTAAGATATAATTTGGTATTAACTACATGTAGTATTAACAACTTGTACACCGAACAGTTATGCGTTAACTCAGGCGGTGCGTTTTTACATTAAATAAGTCTCAGGCAAATTACACACTTACATAATATCCTAAGTTGTCAGCCTCGTCTTTCAATTCCTCGTGTGCTTTTGGGTCAACCTTTTCGCCGACAGATTTATCAGCATGGTATTTCATTGCCGCTATGTGCGCTTGGTCTCTCAGATCCACATGTTGTTGTATCTTGCCTTCGAAATGAACCAGCTCTTCCTGCATGAGCAAATATAATGCTATTAATTTATAAATTCAGAATGCCTACTTTATGACGTCACAAAGAATGGGAAGCCCATCAATGGATATCACGAGGGGGCGTATAACTGCCATTCATCGTTCAAAAAATTAGCATAATCCGATTAACAGTCTGCTATATTATTCAGAGACTGATGTAACGGGGAATTGTGGCCATGGCTTGTCTCTCATTAATGCAAAAAATCACAAGCCGCAATGCTGTCATTCATTGTACGTACTAATAATCCAAGAACCATGCGTACGTGTTGCATGCAATATATGTAAAACAATATAATGTTGTGTGCGCTTCCAAAATAATGTTTAGGTTACGTAAATAGTATCGTGGAGGGGTAGTAAAAAGTAATCCATACAAAGAAATAGCTTTTCCCATAAATCTCATAATAACATGTGACAATGTCCTAAAGCGGGGGAGTCACGGTCGTCACGTGCGCATGCCACACAGGACCATAACGTGGCGTTATTTACAAACAAACGTCAACCACTCAGCTTTAAACACCAACCCGGGAGGTTTTTTTTTAAAGATTAAATATGAACGATAATGTTTTTGATAGTGTAATGTTTATGAATGCATTGAATTATGATTAATCACGAACTAAAAACGTAGCACGCAACTGAGTATTCGTTCGATGAAACAATGAAATTCTCTAATACGAAAGTAGTGTGCTGATCGTTTTCGTATGTACATCACTGCATATGCGTAGTAATGTTTTTCATTTTCTATGGGACGAATAACTCACACAGCGTGCTACAAAAACAACGTTATTTGTTTATTATAAGTCACGATGCAATTTGGTCATCAACATAGTACCAAGACAACAATGTTAAAAATTATACATTTAAAATATTAAAAATATACAGTATTGTTCAAGTGAGACTGAAATTAGATCCAAAATCTCACCCTGAGTGATTGTAATTCTTCGTCCGTAAAATTGCTTCGAATCGCTTCGACCCACATTTGATGTACCCTGGGTTCGATAAATCCGCTTTTCTCATTGTGTGGAATTGCTCGCATCTCCAGTCTTTTCAACTCATTATTGAGAGAATCATATTGCAATTTCATATCTATTTTCCTGAGTATCACAGAAGAGTCATCGTCTGTCTGCTCCGCTGAGGGCGCTGTGAAGAAATGAGCACCTTAAGTTATAAAAGTAAACAAAAGTCATGTCATCCCATGCACACCCCGGAAGTCTTGGGTTTCAGGGTGAAATGCACATCATTGGACTTGATGTCATGAGTCGTGGAATTTTCGAGACAAAACAAATACAGGAATACAAATTGATAAACAATATCGAGATAAATTTATTCTATTACGGCGTTGTTGTTGCCATGTAATTTTGACTGTATACAATATATGTAGAATAGGCTTACAGGCATTCTGGTTGTGAAGTTTGTCACGTGCCTGTAAGTAGAATGTTTCAGGTGCCTGGATATGGAATTTTCAGGTGCCTGGGCGCACAATAGGTGAGGTTTCAGGTATTTATTAAAACACGTTTTTCAAGGAAATTCAAGGAGAATGCAGAAGCTCGTCGATATTTCACTCTAGTACTATTGCTCAAAATTGCGCATAATGTTTTCAATAACTATTATTAGTGACAAGTTACATAATTAGTATTTATTTCGAAAAATCACGCATTTCGTGTGCATCACGCATGTAACCCACTGCTGCAAAAAACTAGTAGCGTTAAACTGGTTTTCGGTTAACTAGTTTTGCAATAGACATAATTTTAGGGCCTGAATATTCCTATGTAATGTTTTGTTGAGAATTATTTCGTACAGAAATGATTCCATCTATTCGTAAAAGGGACGTTGCTGCTTCGACGGTGGCCGAGAGACGACTGACTTCGAAACGTTCCATCCAGATCGGACGGCGCCCTCTCGTACCAATCCCCCTCTGAGATACCTGAAAATGGAATGTTTCAGATGCCTGGAGGTGGGAAGTTTTAAGTGCCTGGATGTGGAATGTCCCAGGTGCCTTGATGTGAGATTTTTCAGGTTCCTGGATGTGGAATATTAATGACCAAGTGCGTGAATGCAGAATGTTTCAGAAAACTGTTCAAGTTGAGAGCTTCCTTAAAATGTGTTATCATAAATGGTAACATGTGAACGACTCTTTCATACGTCCACACCATTGAAGCGGAAGTGTCGCCATGACAATGATATGTAGGTTCTAGGAGCGGAGGGGGGGGGGGGCTAAGAAGTCGATGATATATTTACGATGTTCTGTTGCAAACTGTTCCAACGTTTCACGATACTCATCGATTCTTTCTTCGTGTTCAGTTAATTCATATTTCAAACTATCCAACTCCAAGTCAGAGAACTGTCCAGCTGAGAGGAATAAAACAAAAACAGAGGTTTGCAATTACATTATGTAATTACACATGTACACATCCAAAAGTACTGCGTTCTAGTTCCCAGGCAGCATATGTGCCTTTAACATAACATTCCTTTAAATCGCGCCCATAAGTGACAGGTGTTTCTGTGACGTCAAAATGACGTAGTGGGTGACAGCAATGTCGTTTAGATCTACAGTTATGTTTTGTTTCGTCGCTTTTCGTCATCAAGGATATAGTAAAATGGTGTATTGAAGTTATCTTTTTCGACAACTTGTATAATATTAATAATTTTTCCGGCTCTATGCACAGAATAGTTTGATATATTTATATGAGCGCCGTTAAATAACTCAGGAGTGTGGCTTCCCGCGCGAAATAAGTATATGCTCAATGGCTACTTTACCGTGCAAATCTCTAGTACGCTTGGTAATTTAATTTCCAGTGTAAATATCATGGATCTAACTTTTAAAGCAACAAGTCCTGCACATTTTTTGGAATTTTCTTTGAAGTTTAAGTGTCGAAGAGCGGTTTTTTGTTAGCCGTAAAAACTATATCGTTGTGCAAATACATGTACCGTGACCATAAAACATATGAAATGTTATTCATCTGCATAATATAATATATTATATTGTATTTGATATTATTTGCCTCATAAACTGAAAATAAAAATATTCTTTTCTACTAAATTTGACATCAAACACACGGGGTAATAATTGTCACGATCATTTTGATACCAGTGATAGAAAACACGCGCGATTTGGTCAAGGTTGCTAAGCGCGGAATGAGCAAAACGAGATGTTGTGAATAAGAGCAGGATGGGCATATGTTGGTAAAAAAAAAAGGTATATTCACGAGCATAGCATTGAGCGTGGGCTCATTCTACAGTACCTTTCATATTTACTCTCATTTTTCTACATATGTAAGATCCGTTCGAAATATTACTTACATTTGGATGCCCTGTTCCATATTTTATTCAATCTATTATCCTTAAACATGCCTTCCCCGATTGGGACTGCTGGTGCGGGTGCTTTCTCGTCTATTAATTTATATTTGGTAGCTATATCTGTTATGGGAACAAGAAACAGAAACAATAAGTCAAATATTATTTTTAGCAATTGTTTTTTTTTTTTTTAATACATCAAACGTTATTAAAATTCGCAGCTCTTGTATTATATTATATTCAAACTCGCCATGGAGATCACGTCGTAACTTGATTTCTATTTTTCTTTCTTCGACGTCATTCAAATCACGGTCATTTTTTTGCAGCATGTCGAGTTTTTGTTTGTGTTGTGTAAGTTCCTTAGTTAATTCCTCCATCTTGTCTTGTGGGAGGCCGGCCTGAAAAAATAAAAACGAAATAGCGCAAACGATATCAATCGAAGGAATACTGTTAGAAGTAAACGCATTTTCGTTAATTACGCGTCCAATAAATTTATTATTGTTGCGTTAACTGACATTCTACTGCCTTGAGTGATTAGCCTTAATAAAATCATATATGAAAAATGTTTCGATTGAGCCTTAAATAATGTACACTTGATCATCAAAAATTAAAAAGGATATGTCGTGGAGGGAAAATGTATGGCATCCAGACGCTTTGCGTAAGTATATGATAACGCCCGAGTATGCGGGTTTTATCCAGACTTACTTACATGCTTTTTTTTTGTTTAGTCATATATCAATAACAACAAATATTACGTGAGTGTATAAAAGACCGTGACGAAAGCCGGGTTACCGAAAAGATCGGCTTTTACAGTAACACGAATTTCACATTTTATTTAATTGAAAAAACAAACAGGATTGTATCCAACTTAAAATATACCGTTCGCAACCATATATAAACGTAATGTTGCTTGCATTTATAATATAATATTGTATTGTGATAAACTAAAAAAACTACGCACTTATTACCAATAAGGAATTTTTTTTATCGTGTTTAAATAGCATTTTTGATATAGTTTCAACCTGTTAAAAACCAGCACGTTTTCAAATCAGTGTTTGCTGGTCGAATTGAATAATGTTTCAACCAATAAGAAACAAACACATATCGGCAGACCTGCAACCAATCAATGCTTGGTACAAATTGAAATATCTAGTAACATGCCAGTACATGTTGCAATGAGCAAACATTGTGTTCCATGTCTGTGTGTTGACAGTTATGTACAAATCTGAATGAAACCAAAGTTACTCAATATGTATATGTTTGTACATGAAACAAGCAATTATGTACATTTCCCAACAAAATATTAGGAATTCAATTGTCACTTGCACTCATTTTCGGTGTTCGCCGTTCTGTGAAAAGTTTGATTATAATTTATCATAAATCGTGTACAATGTTGCATTCACCGCACCAAATTAGACTAACACAACTTCGAGGATTATTCAATTGCTGAAATTAAACAGTATATAGGCGACATGTTCTTCTCTTAATAGGAAGTTCATAACGTTTTTTTCCAAACCCCCCTACCCCCCACTGAAACTTAGTTGATAAATATTGGTCATGGCGTCAGACTACATTCACCATTAAATACAAATTGATAATCGGACAGTAGTATTGCATAGCAGTTGGTTGTCGGGTGGGTGTAAAAAGATTTTACAAATGCACCTCATTTGACGCACAGATTTACACTCGAACCAAACCATTTTTCTGTTTTTTTCCCCTTTTCGGTTATTTCTGTCCATGATTGGAT